CCCGCCACAATGCAGGGCTTGTGGGCACGGCTGGCCCGGAGCAGCGGGGCTACGCGTGCAGCCGGGCAGCGGGTGCCTTACCAGCTTGACCCGGTGCCCAGGCGTGCTAGAGATGGCCCAGGTGCACTCCTTCTTGCTGGGGTATTTGTCGGGCCAGTTGGGGCTGGTGATGGTGCCGCTGGTGGACGTCACCTTGTGGTCACAGCCAGCTGTGGGGAAGTGCGGATTGGAAGGGCGTTGCTCCGATACCTCCTGGGGAAGGCCCTTCCCTCCTGTCTCCCCTCGGCTGTCTCTGGTCTCCCCCTTAGGCCCGCAATCAGAGTGTGACTCATCGCCGTTGCTGCATGCTTCCCGCAGGGTCCCCCGTGAGACCCCCCCCGTGGCGGCATTGGTGAGGACAGCCACTGCGGTCACCCCTGGGAACTCCTGGGCCTCCGTGGCCGTCTGGTCATACCACCTCTGCCCTCCCAGAGCTGCCGTCCACTGGTGTCACGGGAGACTTTGCACCTGACTCATTCTCCCCGCCCCGCTGCTGCTATCTCCCTAGGTGATGTCAGCCGACATGTGATGTCCACCCGGCGCGGCTCCCCTGTCCTTGACCTGCCTGGCTCTGCAGTCCTTATCGCCCTCGCGGCCTCACCCAGGCTGTCGCCCCGTCTCATGGCACAAGCTGCACCACTCTGGGGTCGTCCTGCTCCTCCAGGCTGCTGGAGCCTCTCTTTGCCAAGAGGGAGCATCGGCGGGGCCGCCCGGTGTGGCTCGCCCCCTTCTTGCAGTGCCCCCCTCGGGTCACATAACTGACGTCCCTCTCCAGCTGGACTATGCAGCTGACCCCCAAAGCTGCTCCCCCGGCCTTACGGCCTCGCACCCTGTCCCTCCATTGCACTGTCTCACAAAGCCCCGTCCCTGGTCTTCTGGCTTGCGGCAGGAGACAAGGGACTTGACTCTGTGTGTCCTCGCCCGTCAACACCACCTCAACAACACCTGAAGGCTGGGAGATGCCAGCTGACCTGCAAGTGGCCTAGTGCCCGAGGGCAGAGCCGGCAGGAAGCAGCCATCTTCCCCAGGGAAAGCCTCTGCCGGCTATCTTGCTGGGGCTTTATTTTTTTTTTGAAAGTTTGCTATAGGGTGTGTGCACTCACGGGAGAGAGACAGTGAGACAGAAAATGAGAAAGTACCCCCCAAAGGAAGTCCACACTGCAATCCCTTCCCCATTCTCCTCTCAGGATTTTGAACACAGGCACTCACACACCCCCAGCGTGATTTTCAAGCTGCCAGGTCCGGGACTAGAAGCCTGACATTGGCCACATGGAGCCCAGCCCCTTAACCGCCACATCGCCTGCTGGTCTTCTCCCTTTCCCCCCATTACCAGAGAGTATGTGTACTTGAGAGAGAGACGCCCCAACGGGCAGGGTACACTGCCGTCCTTTCCCTCCACAATCTCCTCCCCATCGGGATTCTGGGCGTGTGTGCACAGTGCCTGGTTTTTCAAGCCACCAGGGCCGGGATTCAAACCACGGCTGGCCACATGGCACCTGGCTCCCCAGGCACTGAGTTTAACAGCTGCGCTCCGGGCTGGCCCAGGTTTGCCCTTTATAACTTCTCTCGTCGGCAGCACAGAGACAGAGTGCAGTTTAGGCACATCAGGGTAAAGTCCCCTTGCTAAAATATGTGATGGCTTGTGAGTCAGAGCTCTGCATCGGCCAGGCCTTGCCCTGGCGGTCCAGGGGTTAGTCGAGGGCCCAGTTCTGCTTCCCTGGCCTACAGCTCGTTTGTCCACACCCAGCGCTGGGGAGAGCCCCCTGCCAGGCGCCACTGAGCACAGAGCGCGGACACAGCTCAGTACCTGCTAAGTAGCTCTCGTTCTCGTCATTTCATGGAGAGGAATCTGAAGCTCAGAAAGGTTAAGCAGCTCGCCCCGAGGCGCACAGGCACTCGGGTGGAGCCAAGTCTGTGCGGTGCCGCCGAGATCCCACGTCCCCAGCATGAGGGGCCACAGAGACATTCCTGGCTTGGAGGAGGCCGTGTTCATGCCAGGAGACAGACAGTGCTGCTGATGGCGTGGGAGACCCTGCCTGACAGTGGCCGGGCATGCTCAGGGCACTCGGGGGCCCGGGCGCCCTTCCGAGGTAGGCACTGTCTGCACCCCACACGGAAGCAAGCCACGGCACAGAGTGGGCACGTCCTCATGGAAGGGCACTCAGCTGGCTGCGAGGGAGGACGAGGCCAAGCCACCTGGCTCGCAGCTGCTCAGAGCCACTGCTCTACACTGCCGGTGCCAGGCGGGCGGTACAGAGGCCACGACTCGGACGCGGGTTTATGGTGCCTCCGGTTCAAGGCACCCGAAAGGCCTGAGGAGGAGGCGCTGTGGTGTGGAGGGATGGAGGCTGTGGCTGGGACACTGGGGGTGCGCCAGTGGGGGATCAGCAAGGTGGAGAGCAGCAGGTGGCTGCAGTGGCCTGGGCCGTCCACGCCCCAGCGCCGGGCCGCACCCCCGGAAGCCCAGGGCGGTGGCAGGGCGGGCGGTTCCGGCCACGTGGCACTGACCTTCCTTGCAGCCGTGCTTGTCATCGTGGAGGACGAAGCCGCTGCGGCACTGGCACTCGTAGCTGCCGAAGGTGTTGACGCAGTCCTGCTGGCAGCCCCCGTTGTCCTTGGAGCACTCGTCCTTGTCTGCAGGGGCGACAGGGGCGAGGCCGGTCTGTGCGGGGCTGTGGTAGGGCCCCGCACAGGGGCCGGGCTGTCTCCTCCCGGGGGCAGAGCCCGCAGGCCCAGCCGGCTGGGGCAGGGGAGGCCGGGTGACCCCGGGCTCTGCGTCGAGTGGAACCAGCTGAACGGGGCCCAGCTGTGGGGAGAGAGAGGAGGGAGGGCCGGGGCCTGAACGGACCGGCAGGGGCACCCTCTACCATTACCTGCTTACTGGACAGACGGACAAGTGGAAAAACAGACACGGACAAGGAGACTGCAAGAGAAAGGTGCAGGACGCGGGGGTCCCTCTTTACTTCACAACAGGAAATGTCACAGACACCATCGAAATGGGAGGGGCGGGGGGGCA